CGAAAAATGTTTTTTTGGGGGGCTAAGTGCAACCAAGGCGACCAAGAAAGGAACCACTGGTGTACACTGGAACGTGTTATCCTCTGTAGTATAAATACAACACAAGACACGAGGATATCCAAATCGCTACCATGCTATGAAATATCAGCAAACACATGCCAAGGAGCTTTTATTTGAGGAACTGGTCTAAATTTTAACATTTTCGGTTGTACTAAAAGTTATTGCAAACCTATTCAGGAACGAAACGAGACCACAACACCCAACAGTTTGATTCGTGAAGCCATTATGTCAATCAAGTAATATGAAAACCAAACTTTCACTGCTATCATGGAGATCAAAGCTTCTGGAGTCCATGCACCAAGCAACGTTGACATCAGGTAGAAATTTGTTTATAAAATTTATTTTGTATTCTCTAATAATATTTTTTACACTGCCTCAAATCATCCTCTGATCACGAAATGAACAGTAAAACCATTCAAATGTACCAACCATTTCCATGACAAATAATTCCAAAAAGTAATTATTTATAACAATTGAGATTATGAGTTTTATGTCTACCACACTGTAATAAGTTCAGCATTTATCTCTTTCTCCTTGGCCTTCATGCCCTTGGAACAAGTAGACAAGTTGGATGAGGACATATCTTGTTGAGCAGCCATCATGAAGGAAGTACATATATTTTGGGTCAGGCGTGTTCGAGAAATGTCTCCTCCTCGGGGATCGGTAGTGCCTGATCCGGCACGAAAATCACCTAAAAGGTACAAATCAACAAGCACGTGTTACAGCACAAGTCATAGGGTAATCGAGAATCCAAAGAGATCAGAGTTAAATATAAATCCTGGATTGCAGGCTAGGAGACTTAAATTCCTAGGCGATAGTAGTCATTCTCATTTTTAGATTAGGAAAAAGTTCTCTGCCGTGACAGTAAACCGTCATTTTACATTCACCTGCGACTAACGAAAGTCAAACAGGGCGAAGCACGTTGTTCCAATTTTTGAAAATCTTAGGTCGACCCAACGATCTTGCTTCATGTTACACCTCTCTCAAAATGCAAAGTGGGCTTGAACTTCTTTTAACGGAAAAATCCTACACCATCACCACCACTTAAGAGAACTATTATATGCACTTAACTCTTACATATTTTTTCAGGAGCTCACTATTATAAGTAACTAATTTTTTGGTATGAGGGGCGAATTTTTCAATTTAGCATTGCAAAGTTGGTCCAAAAAAAATTGAGACATGTTCTCGAAACCATGTTTTGCCATGTGACTCTAAATGTTAACGAGACACCGGAACGAATAAATTAATAAGGTGAGGAAATCCTTCTTCGTTACCTATTGAAGACGTCATCTATGTACTGATTCTCTTTTCAGGTTAAACGTTGCTTGTCTTATGATTTGCAGTTGAACCAAGAATAAACTCCTCTTTCTGTTATAGAATCAGTGAGAAACAAAATTAGGAGATTATTATATTTGTGCCTTTTAAATTGAGATTACGTCAAGGCCTCGATACATAAGTGGAAATAAATTTTGTCCTCTGGAACCTACAAGTCACTTAAGTAACTATCCTCTGAATTGAACCTACAAAGCATTAGTCCTTGCCATAGAATATATCGTTACAAATCACGATATTAAGCCTGTAAAACAGGGGCATCAATTTGCAAAGATACAATTTGAAGCTGCCCTATCTGTTATTAACACATAATTTGTAGAAAAAGCTGGGGTAAGTAGTTATAATGCAGGTAAGAGATTCGGAGAAGTGCTTCACCCACCCGGATTGTTTAATCACTTCAGGCGATATCAATGGGTGCCTAAGCGTGAGGTTCCAGAAATAAATCACTAACCTACGAGCATGTTGGGATAATCATCCTATTGCCACTAGTTTTAGCAAAGCCCGGCTCTTATCTAGAAGCTCGTGACTTTCGTAGACAAAGACACACCAATAATATTGGTTCTCATATCATTAGAGAAATCGCACAAACTAAATGATTTAATGAAAAAAAGCTTTTGATTAGCTACCATGGGGGTTTCAGCATGCCCCTGATTCCCTGACTTTATCAATCATTCCCCGGTAAATCTGTATTACACGGATTATCCATCCATTCACAACTCATAATACCCTCATTCGAACAATTTCTCGAAATTTGTGCATGAGCTAACTGGTACATTTTTCAATCCTCTCGTCTAATTTACTGCCAGCAAAACCATCCACTGAAATATCTTGAAAATACATGATAAATAGCATGGATTTATGGAACTAGGTTACCACCTTTGTTCAATGTTCTACAATATGGCAATGAACTTCCGGGTCTTTGATAGACAGTGTACGGGGGTGAATTTAAAGTTTTATTTAGCGGATTTAGGTAGGTAATCAGCTAAATACGAAGTTACTCTTCTAACAAAATGAAACATAAACTGATCCTAAACGTATTAGGACCCGATGATGATTTTTTAAAAAGTCAATAAAATGGAATTTTATGATTGAAGTAGGAGCATATTTCTGTATATTTTAGTGGTTCTGCACAAATGGGAAGTTCGGGACCCAAGAAGCACATTCATGGTAACTGCTTAGATGCAGAGCTGAACACGGCTAATTATTTTGATGACTTTATTTTGGAACTAAACGGTGGAGCGATTTTCCTATTCATGATGGATGGTTACATTGTTGCCTTTTACACAGTGCACGCATAAGTTTGAAAACAGAACAATTAGGACGCAGTGCTGATGTCCAGATAACAAATATTTACCCGACCCACATCAGATAGTGGACAAAAAATATGCACTGATGCATTCAAAGACACATGGATGCATTTTAGCAGTAAGAACGGTAGAAAAGGGAGGAAATCAAACCAAATCAAAATCCCCTACAGATTTACATGTTACTTCAGTGTGTCTTATAAGTCCACATGATACAGAAATCTTATTTGCATGGTTAAATATAGGCACTTTAGGAATGCATTGTGATTATTATTATCTACAGAATGTCTTCGCAATTTGATTTAATATGCAACCTACCTGAATGGCCGATCACTTTTGCCTGCTTGCTAAATTATCTCAAGACTGATATTTCTGATAAATATTGTAGCGCTTTTTGTTTTTTGACGCCTGCTGAATTTCAAACACAGATTACAATAGCTGAATTTGAGGAGATGCTTTGAAACCAAAAGCAAAGTCGTCGTCACGTATACAGCCAGGTGCAAAACTATACATCTAGTGTATATGGTACGGTTTTGTTTTCAGTTGATTCACACTGCATCGGGAGCAATTAGACCTCAGAAGACTGCTTTGCATGCCAGCAGATTCGGTGATATGGGTTGGAGCATCTGAAGGCAAACGACTTCGATCTAAGCTCTTAAATGTGCTTTATTCACAGAAGTGTGGAAAGCCAATTCACACAAACACATGAAATTGCGTCAGGCCTCAAGCATGTTCGAATAATACTAATGTAAATCGGGAGGAGCTAGTAAAAATAATGCAAAGCTTCCCCTTGATAAAGGCAATTTCGTGCCATGCGATTATAAAACAGGGGAAGTGAATAAAGTCAGTGAATACTTTGGAATAGAAATGCATATTTTATCTAATAATAAACGAGAGCCTTAGCAAAAGGCGAATTTAGGAATCTTATACTAGAATTTAAGGCTCATTTTTTGGCCATGTTAGGGTTCATAGATCACTTAAGCCTCACGTTAACAGTAAATAGGAATATATTTTAGATGAATGCTTTGAACAATTTGCCCATTACAACGCGGACTTAGCAGACGATGTTATATACATAACTGGTCACATTTTATTTGTGCTTGTTGAGTATTCACTGAGAGATAACAGGAATAAGTGAATCTGGGACCTTATTCAGGTCGGGGCTAAGAGCAATGGTAGACAGTGAAAAGAGAATCTATCTAGAGTAAAAATCTCTGAAACCAGAAGATGAGCGTGGAGAGAAGGAGGGAGTTTCGTGGAGGATGGAAAGAAGGAGAGAAGAAGGGATGGCAGGAAGGTGAAAAGAAAGGAGAAAGAGAATGCTAGGAGAGGAAAATTACGTTCAAATGCAACTTCCTGAGTGTAGAAGTCCTGTGCATATGCTCGTCTGACCGACGGAAGTGATAACAGTAGCAGGATGGATAAAAGGCCTTCGCTGAATCAAGAAAACCTACAGGTTTGGTCCACATGGGATTTTCGAAATGGGAAGTGGAGAGAAGAGGTCAGAAAACACAATTTCTCGTGCCTCGATGGCCCATGCCGCCAGGGTTGGACCCAGAAAAAGCGGTAATCTATAAATACAGGCGAAGGACAGAGGTAGAGTGAGAGGAAAAGACACGAGGAAATAATTTACAAAAGTGAGAGGTGATAAATAGCAACGCCGTACTGGCGTACACACGCGAGCGAGTACGCACACGCATAAGTCTATAAAAAAGTGTGCTGGTAATATTGAGGTTGCGCGAGACTTGGTCAAGACGGCGGTGAGGCGGAGTGGGCGCAGGAGAGGAAGGGGAAAGAGCGCAATAAAAGAGGGACAGGAGGGAGGAGAGAAGGAAGAGAAATTTGAAATAACATCGTAAAACCAGAAAAGAGTTTGGCTGCCTGAGTGAGAAGAGAAATAGATTAAATCAGTATTGGAAGATTCACAAGAATAAAGAATCAATCAAGATCGAAATTCATCTCCAACATGCAGAGGACAAACAGCATGGATGCTAATATAGGGCGGAGAAAGATTCGTGGTCCCAGTAGACGGCTAGTCATACCCGGTGTGAGTCTAGACTAACGATTTATAAATACCAAGCTTAAAAGGAGGAAGGAAGGGGGGATTTAGTGAGTGCGGGCTAAAGCGAAAGATAATGGGAGATTGCCATAATAATGTTTACATAAATATTCCTACACACGCAGACACACGGGTTTGGAAGAGGACGAGAGAGAAGACAGAGTGGAGTGAAGGGAGAAATCTGGAATTTGCTGGAACGCGGAAGCTAGGAGAAAACAGGGAAAGTCACTGAAGAAAGGTCGGTCCTAAACTGCCGAGGTGCCCCGATTAACGTTCTCGATGAAACGACTGAAATCCTCCTCGGTGCCTGTAATTTTGGCGTGGCGATAGTTGTTCCACAGAGTGGCAGTGACGTCGAGGGCGATAAGGTCACTCGAGGCGCGCGAGACGACCTGGAGGATCAGGACTCCGTCGGGACCCAGATTGTTATTCACAAAGCGCGTGCAGTCGCGTTCCTCGGTGTTAGAGAGCTGGCGGATCGCCCGAATATATTGCTTGATGTAGGCAATCCGTCGGACCGGCACCAATGTGTTAAAGGCCCACTGCAATGTGCTAAACGCGGTGAAGGCACCCAGGAGGAGAAACCAGAACCAGAGAAAGACGAAAATCTTCTCGACGAAGTAGTTGATTGGAAGTACGCATTGAAGAGTGTAGCTGTGAGGGGAACAAATATCCCACATATACAGTGAAATTTACAATTCTACGTATTCGTATAGAGCGACGTCTTGTGTGGATGACAAATCGACTTACTTTATGTGACCATTTATGTGCGAAGTATACAAGATTCGTAAATACCTATCAACGAAATTCGGGTCTTAAGTTCCAAACAAACACTAAGCAAAAGCTTTGCTAGAGGTCATAGTGTTCTGTCATACTTACCCACAAAGTAACTGAAAAAAAGTTGCAAATGCATTGATAAACTTTATGGCAGTGGTAATAACTGAGATTCATTTACCAACTGGCTTGAAGCGGCTGAAACACTGCTACTAGTAAGCTGTCACTCAAAATCCGGTTGTACGAGTGTTATCTGCAACAGATCTCCCAACGCCTTTTGACTGTGTGTAAGGGAATGTTTCTTAAAGAAACCACAGAACTTTAGTTTACAAAACAAGTAGCATATGGTCCCATTCGGCCTAAATTGCCTGAAATGGACGAACAGCAATTCTTTTGATGTTATACCTAGCTGTCGTATGATGTTAACATTAAGCCAGCATCTTGCAACTTCTGGCAATTTTCTTATTCGCAGCTCTTTTTTTCCATTTGTGGAGCCATTTAGGTCCTAACTGAATTATTGTCAATCACAGAGATGGCGTAATGTACACAGTTTGTGGCAAAATACTACATAAAGATAATGATGGAAGTAGTTGGGTTTTCAGAATTTCAAGAAAATTCAGCGAACAATAGAATGTGTGGGATCCTTTGAGGAATCCTTTTTTGCCTCAAATCCCGTAGGTACCGCTCAAATAAAGACTTTGCAGTAGCAATAAGGAAAGCAGACCCACTTCCCATAGTTGCACCTGGGATTTGCATTTTCAGCCTATTTGATGCAGTATTTCACTGAGTGGATAGGAAGTTGCTTTAGAGCGCAAAAAAAACCTCAAACGCTACCCCTCTGGCTCTCTTTCTACCCCTAGTGCTGATGAGACGCATTTAATGCACTCATAAGAAAAAAGGAGGGGCAATTTTAAGATGTGATTTTTCTGCTTTTCCCAGCACTGCCCCTTTGAGGAAATTTTCGGGACAGGCATATCTTGCATCTGGCCAGATACGGAATCTCAAACTTGTGATTGCAGCACTGCAAATTAGTGCCGGCACGTCTTGGGTGACTTTTGCCTAGAGATGAAATTTTTACTCAATTGTCTATACCATTGTAACTTTGGTATTGTCAGATTGAAAAGTGAAACGAATAGATATCTAAAAAAACACTACTGATTCTTGTTTCTATGCTATTCTACACAAAACTACTTCATGCATGGGATACCAGGAGTTTGTCCAAAGATGGCGTTTGTGTAAATTATTTCAAGTTATTTTTCGAATCTTACAAAACTATCACGAATTTGTAAATGCTTTTAAACGGTTTTTCCCCATACGGCAAATTTGGTTGGTGACGGGATAAGACTTAAGAGAATGTGCTAGATTTTCGCCTAGCAATTAACACAAAATGGGTTTATTAGTGATATGGGTAGCTAAGAAGCTACACTAGACCTTAAATCTTGCGAAATGGTAAGAATAAATCTCAGCCGAGGCTGTAGTACAGCAGACCAGACCAATGTTTCTGAGAATAAACCGGGTCACTCGTCATTTATTTGGCTCAGTTGGTCATCAGTGATGGTTGTTCCCTCTAATTCGCTTATAGTTATTTAAAAATGAAACCACTGATGGTGGAATAAGAGAGGTCTCACCTTGCGGGTTTGATTTGTCCCATTTTTCTAACATTGACTGTACAGTAGGTGACCCGTGGAAATTGACCGGTAGTCTCCCAGTCGCGTCCAGCTATCAAATTGTTGAGCATGTCTATGCCAAAGTAGGAGCTATTGCTACCGATGAAGTGCTTCATCAGGTAGATCTGCCCCACCGAGTTGCCTATAAAGAGGCATCGGACAAAGAAAAAGAGAAGGGTGATCTCGACATTTGGCCGAATGGAGCAAAAGATACGTTTGAGGGAGGACTTGACGCGTTTTTGGCGTGCAGTGGACTCGGAGATCTCCTCCAGAGTAGCAACTAGACAGGAAACGGCTTTTTGACGTAGCTCGCGGTCGGGGATCGCGGCCTCACGGGCAGAGCGCAGGAGGATGGGCAGGCGCTTCGAGCCTACCCGCCAGATTAGGTAGGGCACCCAGGAAAGCATCGCTTGGCCAGCCAAAACGATCACTATCCATTGATAGTAGCCTACATATTTCACCCGGTGCAACTCAAAGTCATCTTCTGGCACGTCTTCGTTCGGCAGTAGGAAGTAGGTATTCTGGATCCAACACAAATTCTCCGCGTACTCTTCCCAAGGATGCTTAAACTCCTGCGGCACCCAGCATTGGATAGGCTTTCCTAATCATACAAAACGCACAAGTGTACACTTTGTTTCACTACTAACTGGCCAAAACGGCATGATTTATCACGAATATATTAGCACAGATTGCCACTATGTCATCCAATGTGACATCTTTCAAATCGATCCCATTCATCAGCTTTAGAACGGATTGACGTAAACTAACATATTAATAGGCATTCCACCACTTGGGATATGCAAAAATCAGCTTAAGGACGTTAAAATTTTTTATCTAAGTACACAGCAAGTTGTCAGTAGCAATTCACAACTCAGCCATTGCCAATTTCACCCATGCATCGTTAATTACGGATAGACTAACTGGGATTCACTTATTTTCATCTCTTAATACAAACGTGACCTCTCTACAAGACACAATATCTTACAGCATTAAATGCCTAAACCATCTACTTTCTTCATTGAGACCATCTGCTGTTAATGACGCTGTCTACTTGGGAGGCTCGTAATCTTTAATTATCCCAAAAAAACTACCAAACAACTTCCCCTCCTGTCCCCTTTAAGCAAATAACAAACGAGATGACATGCATAGTGGATTGCTTCAAACTAATTTGGATACTCGGAGAAAGGTAGTGAAAATTAGACACTTAGGGGTAGGAGAGCATCATTTGTGTTGGGACAGTTGGTGAAAAAATTAAACCAACTTAGTGCCACATAAAATAACGCATTACAAATTTTTCTTACCTCAACATTGAGTACAAATGTTTTAAGCAGGTACAAAAGTACAAAAGGGAAGGAAACATTGGGAAAGGGCAAAACACTAACTAGCACTGTGGTCTCTGAGAGTCCACTAAAATGGTTGCTAGCTGTGATGTATTTCAATGCTGGACTATACAACTCCATTTTTGCTTAGGCCAAAAAAACGCCTTTTGCAACTAACCACTTGAGAAGATGTTTTACCAATTTGTGTAATTATACCATCAGCAGAATAACAGTGACACAACAATACAAACTTTAACAGGTGTTTTTTTTGGCGGACTTGTTTTTCTATGCCACAATCGGTCTTTCAAATTGCGTATCAATATATCCTTTAACGTCAACAATACATCGATTATGAGCTAAGAGAAAAAAACCATATTAGTTTTAATGCAAAGCTAGGAAAAGTGAAGTGTAAACGCGACTGAAATGTGAGCCCTAATGAAACATATCCGATGTCTGCCTCACGTTGAGCTCACATTTCCAGCCACTATCACCACCGTTCTCGCGGAAATTCTTCTTCAGTCATTCCATCGATATTAGAAAGCACAGAGCTGAATTGGTGTTTGTAATAGTCTTCACACTAAAGCTTCCTGGAAGCCATGTTCTTTTTAGTTGAACATCAGGTTTCAAGAATTTATTTGTTGTCGTTGAACCAGAAAATACTAGAGACTTTATGTTAAAAGAGTCTACTCAATTTAATCTGTATAAGGTGAAGGATCTAACTTCATCTTCTAAATGTACAAGGTATAAACTTCACTAATCCACTAACGCCTTGATTTAAAGCTAAACATGTTAGAAATATCAGGTGAAGTGGATTAAAATGGGAAACCTAGCTGCAACTATATAACCTTATAACATCACCAAAATCTACCGAGATTAAACAGAACGTTCACGTGAAGATGGGTGCAGGCATTTACTAACACGGAATCAAATTCAATGGATAATTGAAACAAGCTAATAGCAAATTCCCAATTTGCCTACAAATTAAGAATTTACGTAGCTAAGGATATTGTTAAAGGCATAAATATCATATTGCAATTGCCAACTATTATCATTATTAGTACCTAGAAAAGAATCCTTTTCTTTTAAAAAGTTGGAGTAGCAATGAGTAAAAGCTAGCATGAAATAAATCAGCGCTATCGCATGTGAAGACGATTTCCAACCGCAATATTTCTAAAAACTTGATTTCATTGCAAACAACCGAGTAAAATTAGTTCAAGTTAAATTAAATAAGCGAATCATTTATCTGGAGATGTGCTTTCTATGGATAACAGTGGCTTTTTTCCTTCCATTCGATTCGAGGACACTTAAATATAAGGAAATGAGTGTGACACAGTTGAATACGATGCCATTCTTCACGACGCAGGAGTTATAGATCTACTATGCAGGAATACCAGCCAAACTTCAAGCGATTGCTGTTTTACGAGGCGATTGTAATAGATTATGCAACAAGTTCTTACCCAATTCAAGCTGCCGCTTTCAGTAAGGCAAAAAATTTCAATGAATCAACTTATATTGCGCTTTTTTCCTACACATATGCTTATATAATTTGACGTATTTGTGATGAGAACTGAGAGAGTTAACTTTGAGCAATGAAACTGGAATAAATGCATTGAGCCGAGGCGAAGCAAATAAAATAATGTACCTAAAAGCGTTATTCGACTAGCATTCAGTTATGTAAGGAAGGATAATTTTGTAAATGCAATATCTTTGTTGATATAATTTTATGAGTAAAGTCATCATTAATACCGTGCTGCTGTGCACTTTTCAGTACCATCTTGAGAGTCTGGCTTAATTACGCATTTGTTATTAAGTCGGAAGTATCAGCTATGTAACATTTACTCGGTGGGATAGTTAAAACTTTGAAATCACTAAGACAGCTTAATGGGGTGAAAAACCTGGGTAGTTTAAGCGGTTGAATTCCATAGTGACTCCATACTTTGCAGCATCTAGTAGACCGTAATTCAATGAATTAACACTGAAAAATCCAAACGACTTTGCTTAATTTACAACGTAAAACTAAGCATATGACTTGACTCCAGAAATACGCTGTTTAAAAATATTACGGAAAAATTTGCTTTAACTCCTTGTACACTTTATCAGAGCTTAACATCTCCAGGCCTTAACAAAAAAACGTTCTATCGCATCACCTCTTTCCATTCTTCCTGCAGTCATCCATTAAAAATCGTCACAAAGAGGAAAACGTTTTTAAAGCCTAGCGATCCAAATTTGATAGATTCTTCATATGGGTAGGCCTATTAACGTAATGCATTTTTAATTTTCCAAACTCTTCATTTAAATCCACGAGACTATAAATAGCTTTTCCATCAACCTCAGCGCCATTTTACCACACGTGAGACTATATCGTAAGAAACTGCTTTAGGTTCTGTCGAATAAAACTGCATTCTTTTTCCCTAGTCTGCCCGCACATTCACTACTTTGTGTATCATTCAAAACTATATCTTTTAAATAATGTGTTTCTACGAAATGCTTGTTGCTTAGATAACTTGATTTTGATTGTTCGATGTTAAGGAATAGAGCACTCTATTTTTCAAAGAAAACGGTACGCCGATCGGTTCTACAACTGCAAAATGAGGCTTTGATTTTATTCATAAATAAAACTCCTATCAAAATCTCCTTCTATTTTAGTTAATGCATATAAATAAAACCTCTCATAAAATTAAGGTGTTTGCATGCCTTCAAATATCTTGTTCCAGCCGTGGCTAGTACATTAAAGAGCTGACTCCATATTCCTGGCTAGGACTCCCCATCTCGATGATTAAGTTGACTGGAAACAATAATAGGTACTCATATAATGTACTATTTTAATGTAACCAATTCCTTACTGTATAAAAAAATATCGTAAGGCAAAGGAGTAAAAAAGTGAAATTCAAATGGTCGTCGCTGAACCTCTCAGAGTGACTTAGTGGTTTCGTCGACAATATTGCCATGTCAAACCTCTTTTGTGATGAATTCCTTGTAGGTGTTAATTGAAGTCGCAACTTTTCCGTATTCAACTTTAGCCGATAGTTTTTGCTTGAAACACTTCAGTTCACAAGAGCCTTCCTGAGCACAACCCACTGTAGAGTTTATAAATAATTACAAGATCATTTGTAATCCTTCCGCTGCCTTACAGCAGCGTCCCAAGGAGATGTTTGCATTTATTACCACCAAGTAAACAGACTTAATCCTGCTCATAAATTCGATCATAATCCCAAATAGTTAGTGATTTTTGTGTCTTCTTAGTTTTATTTTACAAAGAGGGTGCTGTGCAAGGGAGTACACGCTCCTTTTAAGTACTGCACTTGTAGGTTCAGCTACATTGCAGAAGTTGTGAAAGGATAAGAGACTTACAAATAAGTTGATGTTTTACATTGAGGTGGTATGATATCTGCTTAATGTTGTAGCGAACGGCAGTTTTAGTACCCCTCGATGTTGTCATAGTAGTAACAATTCATGGGTTTACAACATTGTCTGGCATTAATCAAACAAAGGGAAAAATTGTACATTTGTAAGTTGATTGCTATTACACTAAATGTTTTCTGAATTCAAACATATTTAAGGTAAATAGTTTGACCTTGCTGAAAAAATCTAACGAATAAAAAGAATTGCACGAATACAACGCTAGTCAATCCTTCAGAAAAGGGGTATTTACGTGTAAAAACTAGTTTTTATTTCCCTTTTTGACTTCATTTCAAAGCGGTTAATTGCTCAAACAGGATTTAAGTCAACTTGTCATGAAGGCATGAAGTAATTAAGTTCTGTCGATTTGGTACTGCCCAACTGAGCCCGCCACACCGGGAAGCAGTAAATCTGTCCATGCTCCTCTCACCAGGTGCAAAAGAAAACGCGATCAAAATCAAATGTCCAACAGGAAATGCGCGTGTTTGACTCCCTCTTGAAGGCAAGCGCTGCCGTAACAAAAGTGTAATGATAAGACCAGAGTCGGCACGCTCCTTTTTTTAATGCAACATACCTACACACACACACCCACATAAAAGCTGCTCCTCTAAATAAAATCCTGTACACACACACACACGGAGAGAGAGGGCAATCTATCGGTCCAGAAGAACGGAAGTGTACTGCATTAAAAGGAACACGGTTGGTGTAAAAAATGAAACCCGGCGGTTAGCCAAGTATAATAAACAGAAACCACTACACAGTTGTGGACTGAGTTTTGACACACTTATTTCACTATTTTATCTCATAATCAAACAGCGAATTCTCTTGGTTAAGTGCATCACCTGGAACAGCAAAATGGGAAGTAAAAAAAGACTTAAAACATGTATCCAGATATGGCTCAGCTTGCCCAAGTCAATATTATTCCATCGAAGTGTTTTAAAATTTGTGCTGCAAAATGCTTGCATTCTAGTGCTAGTCGCATATGCAGCGCTTTTACGTCTGATTTGGCCACGTCGCTGGGGCTCATTATAGGCACCTGTCACCTCATACCGGTTTCAGCACTCTACATTTTCCTACTACTCGCTCTTTGAACCAATGTTAGAAGGCATCTGTATATTCCAATGTGGATTTATGTCCGAGAAATAGACTAGAAAATAGGTATGGACCACCCATTAGTCGAACAGTCAAGTAGATGACTTTGTTATTAAAGATCCTGATATGTTATATTTCCTGGTCATTAACCACTCCCAAAGAATCTGACCAACCGTTGGCTGTACGTTAAAATTTTGAAGACTACTGAACGTACCATATTTATTCCTTAGTACTACTTACACATGATTACATCATCTTCCCCGGGTTTCTGGAATGATATTTGAGGCTAAGATGTGCACCATTAAAGTCAACATTCTAATAATCACTGGTCCTCAAGTTATTTTTTAAGTAATCACGCATACAGCATTGATAGCATAAAAACAAGAGCTTCTTCTTGGTTCTTTTTGAAATGTACAAGTACTCAGTGTGATTCACCATAAAATAAATCCACATATAAACCGACTAGGAATCTTAGGGGTTTTTGAAATCAGTAAGAGTAAAAGCAGTATTAAACAAATCTTTTGTGTTCATCGGACGTATAAAATTGCCTTTAGACTCCAGATAAATATACAGAAATACGATCACTCAGAAATTTCCTTCGTCTGATGGCAATTGTTGAAAGTTATGAGCTTCCGTAAAACTCTCTGAATATAGCAGTCCAGGCTTCATCAGGATTTGTCAACTTTTGCATTGTCAGGCAAAACTCCCAAAAAAATATGCTTGCAGCTTTTGAGCCTCCTTTGGTTTGCCATTTTTTATGCTTAGACGCTTTCTGAAAATCATTTGATACGTATGAATTTCGTTTACACAAACGCATCTCTTTCCCTTTCCGCTTCAGATCCTGCCGATTCGGTGGTGTTTGTTAGAAAGTAAGCAATTTTAAAGCAACTGGGTTTCAAAAATTCTCGAAAACCTAAACATTTTACTTCTTGCCTACAATGCTTATACAAGATTTGTCCATTCATTTTACCGCATCCACATTCTAAAACATCCTGCAAAAGAAGTAATATGGAAGCTGATCCTGACGTGTGAAATCATTGCTTGCGTGGAAGAGAGGCTGGCTGGTGGTCAGTGCGGGAATGCATGGCAGGGACAGTGAAAAAAAAGTATTCCACATTGCAGGTCGTTTTTTAATCAAAAAACATTAAATAAGTTTGCAAAACCTTTACACACTTATGCAAATTCACTTTACTTCTGATGGTATGTTTAAAGACCCTCTAATTAGGCACATTATTTCATATTGGTTCGGAATATTTGACCAGTGACGGTCAAGAAAGGAATATTTAAATAGTGTTGACTATCCAAATGCATAAATCCCTTGAAAAAGTGTAATTAAAGCGTATGCTTTGCTTGCCAGACACCTTCTCAAATTCATTGAGTTTCCATCAAGTTCTTTCACTCAGAGTTGCGGCAAGGGAGAGATGATATCTTACGAGCAGGAAAATCATCAGTTGCACAATCTTCGCCACCTTTCCACACGCAAAGGGCAAGCACAGGGATTTTGAAACAAAAGGCAACACGTAACCCCTTTAACGACTTCGGTGATGAAGATCAAAATGTCATCTACGAGATTTTACGATTGGCTTAATTGAATGCTACAACTACAATTCTGTCGGAGCAATGCCTTATGACCTCCATTGTAACTCGTCCGATAATATTATCCAATCATTAAATAAATTATACAAAGCCCAAATTTTTACTTATTCCTGTTTAAAATATGGATTTGAAAATGCTTAGTGACTTGATTTCTGTGAGGAATTGAAAGAATTAGTGGAATAAATTACTGGGTAAGGATCTCTGATATAATGCAAACGAAGTTAAAGTCCCTTTCTCTGTTATGCAATAGGAGGCATGTAAATGGGCTCTGCAGCGTGGCTTCCTCATCATTTAATTAAGAGCCTCGTAACTTATCCTCCTGGCCGCGAAGTGTGTAATAGCGCCTGCGTGTAGCCCCGAGCTGTTAAACTGCTTAATGTAGGTGGACTGTTTTGCTGGGCAAATATATCAAATATATTTGATATATCAAATATATCAATTTCAACTGAAGTCTATTTTAATTGTGTTTGCCTCTACTATCAACGCCGGTAATATCCATTCTTCTGAAGCCAAAAATAAAGTTTGTCACGAGAACGTTAATTAATGGAAAAGTGAATCGATGTAGTTATATGGTCCCCGGTTGTCATTAAGTGCTGCATAATCGTACCAGAGGATCAAGTTAGCTCGAAAGCTAAACACTCTAATTGACATTCAAAATGGTGTCTGATTTTGATTGAAAAATGTACAATTTGCAAGCCGCTGAAGAAAAGGTTGTATTATCGATGCAGTACGGGTACATGAAGCTGATGAGTCTCGTGCCCTAAACTTGGTTTTCTGATTCCCATTGTACATTGTAGATTTTTATACTCAAGAAGAAAAAGTCTAATTATTTCTTCCACCTTTTTGTTAGTTTCTCCACTCAAGGTCTTAATAGGTAGAGCCTCTAAAGTTATTGTGGACAGTTTTGCATCTATCACAAGAGAATATTGGTTGTGCGTTAAAAGAGGTAAATTTTATTTTACCTTTTGCTGCTTATTGCATTCTATGAACTTCGGGCAACTGTGCTAATGAAAGCAGATGCGGTTGACCCTGCTACCATTCCATTATTAGCGATGAAAGATTATCCAGATGTATGAAACATATCTAGGGACAAACAAAAACCAATTCCTTGTTTTACGAATTCCTTTCACCATGTTGAATGACTGTGATTGTGCCAGAAAATTTGTAACAACTCAATAAAAACTGTTAAACTACAGGACTAAAGATGCCAAAAGCTGCGTACCTAAATTATTAAGACAAATGACAAAATATTAGCCAAAAAAGGTGAAGTCTGAGGCCATTCCTTGTTTACACTTTCACTAGGAAAGGCTCATTCCGACGTGTCGCTTTGTTCATCGGTCTAAAAACCTAATTAGGACCAAGCAGTCTTAATGTAAGACATCAAAAATATCAATTACTTTTAAATCTCTGGGTAATTTTATAAGCGTGCCAAAGTGACTGTCTTAATGAAATCCCTACACTATGTGTAGTCGTGGATATCGCAGTCGTCGAGACCAGCGACAGAGCTTTCGTGATTGTCACTACCATCATCAACGCTGCAAAAGTGATGGCCTAAAGGGAGGGGGACGCATAGAGGCAGGACATGGCACCCGGTCACAAGGGGCATGCGCGTTCATCGGTGCTGACCGTGGAGCAATGAACTGCCACTAGCTGCTACTTGGGCACACACACAAACTCCACCCATGATGGTGACACTCAATCGTAACAGCAGAAATCGCTAACACTCAAACGACACCGTTCCCGAGTGATTCGCCAAAACACATGTTCAAATGTGTAGTGAAAAGGTTATCATTCTTATGGTTTTCCAACTCTGAAAAATTGCTCTGAGCCTTCATATGATGCATCGTGTGACCATTTTAAAACTGGTAGTGAATTTCGAAATGTGAGGAAGGTTCATGAAATCCTTCGCAGCAACTATCACGCTTTAGTCGTTTATCAGAATTCTTTAAATAAGAATTATAAAGATACCTTTTCTGGTTAAAGCGATTTTCCTTCTCAAAAGTGTTAGCCAATTTCCTTGGTAGTTATCAGTCAAGATCAAAGGCAATTTTTGTAAGTAAAAGCGTAACAATATAACATCATTGTCTTTCATTTGTGTCGCTTGATGAGAGGTTTTATGTGCACTTTGATTTCAGCAATACCTGTATAAAATCCATCAATTCTTTGGCCTTATGACCTTAAAAGCCACTCATGTATCGGTCTTGTATTTTGTGATGACAGGTTTTAACAAACCTTTAAAGCTGATTTAAAAGGCCTAATGAACTTGGGTAAAGGTACAAGTTGGTTATTGCTTTAGCTTTAAGCACAAGTCGTTGCCGCATGCACTTCATTTTAGCAGGTTCTCAAAGCAACATCGATGTCGAACCCCCTTGGGATTAGATGAGTGTTAAAGCTCTTACAATAATATAAGTCCATGTATATAAACACAGATACTCTTAAATAATTTTGGTAGCCCGAGATTCAGCAGCAGCAGGAGCAAAACTGCGCAAATTCAACTTTGGACTGACTGCAAGGATCGACACTGGCTACTCGTGGCACCTGAATAGAAGCATGTGTGGTGTCTCGCTTGTTAGCTACAATAGTTAATTAAAATCATTGCCGACTCTGATATCGCTTTGATGGGTAGACAGTACGAGTATCATTTCACTAACGTCCACTCAGAGCCACTGTCAAGTCAAATTTGCCAGCACTTTGATTGTCATCCAAGGGATTTGGTTAACTCTACTTGTTTTTTTAATGAAGTGGAGGTAAAAATTAACGATTGACTTGTAGTTCTGCCAGCTTAGTTATATCTACTTGCTTGTAGTAGATGCCATTGAACAGACCATTTAGTGGTAAATGGTATATGTTGTTGAGTCTTTGATAGATTCGACTTCTATCTGTTGAAAGAGACGAGAAAAGTTACAAATGAAGGATGACTTAAGGGACCATCTAAAAGATACTACGGTTAGATTTTCTATCATGTTCAACTTAAGAAAAATACTGGGATTTCGAATTTCGCATGCCCAGCCTGTTTTACGCTCACCCTAAAGTGATCATTTTTACGGAGCTTTCAGATAGATCAGGAAAAACAGGCACTCAGGATGTTCTCAGATGGCAATGTTCGCAATTGCTTCAAAAAATTTTCGCTGACTAAACGAAGATGGTTAATTTAGCCAAGTCAAGAAGGTAGTCGCACCGTTGGGACCAATATCTGGAATTTTCAAAGATGTGATGCAATTCCAACTGCAACGCCAAAGGTTTCAGAACCGCATCAGTGAACCAAGTAGCATCTAATTAAACCATAATTCGATTCTAAATTTGCCACGAGCTTTTTGATTTACCTTTTGTGGTTAAGAGAGCTACAAGCAACAATTACACTTTCTCACTCTATGTTCAGCGGATAAAATTTATTAATTTTGCCAATCTGTCAAAATTCTTGAAAAATTTTGTGGCATTATGCAACAAGTGTTCCACGAGATATGGGACACGAAAATGATTATGAATGTTATATCTCAAAGCGTTGGAAACGACAGAGAAATTCACACGCATACTTTAGAAGATATCCGCCAACGTACGACTCAAAAATATTTAGTGGTTGAAAATGGAAGGCGGACGCTCAAACTACTTTTTCTACAGAGATTCGTAAAACAGCCTTCTTGCCTTCCTTCTGATGTTATATGACAAAACTGTTGACGGACATAGTTGGGGAAGTTGAACTAAGCACGCCTATTCGCAGAAACCCTGATAAATACCTTCAACTATAAACCATGGAGATGATAAGTAGAACATGAGGTAATTGATGAATATCGCTGCAAGCAGATGTTGATTCACGGGTGTGCGTTACTATACACCAAGTAGAGACCCAATGGTGGATCTGAAATCTTATTCCAAGGTAATAGCAGTGCTGCCTAGAAAGTTTGTTGCGATAAAAGGATTGCAGCTGACGAGGAGGTTAAAGTAAGTGTGAGAGACTATCAATTCACCGATTGTTCACGTTAGTGTTTGAGATGGCTTTTGGATCTGGGACACAAGGAACTCATTTTTAATACTTTGTGTATTTCAGCTGTTCCAGTTTTTGCTATTGATTGAATTAAGTTAGAAAATTTGCATGGAATCTTTAGTCATTTGCACTCATTTCATTTGCCTTTACCCATGAGTTGACCCGGATTCAAAAACTAGACAGCAAAAGAACCACTGTACAAATTACTAATCTTATGCTTATTCCTCTTAGACTACGGTTGAAAAATAAGATAATGTTTTTGTCAAAAAAAATCACTATCGTTTTCATCGTGCTGCATCATATCAAAACCCTTGTCTACTTCCGTGGTATTTGTTTTGCGGCTCTTGAATTCCCGTAGTGTATGTTATGCACCAAATAGATATTCTGGGAATTCTATGAAGTAAGCTCAAGCCTGAGCCACCAGGTAAGTGAAAATCCTTCATTTGAACTAGCTAAGGTAAAGTTCTAGATTTTATAGATTGAGATTACTCTCTGATTGGGTTATTTAGTTTCCCGTCTTGTACTTCGAATTCAAATGATTTATTAAAAACAACGAATCTCAAATACCATGCACGTCTATAAGGAACGAGGGTCCTAGCTAAACTTTTTGACTACTTTCCAAAGCCATCGCGTCCAGGGCATTGTTTCAAGTCTGTTTAATGGCATCCTTTCGTATTCAAGTCAGTCGCTGAATGTAAAGCGCATTGCATGGTAATAATATTTCACTACAGTCAGATCCTCTTACTGGGTGTTTAGACACCCCCGATACATAAAAATAGGCATACGTATTTGGATATTTCCATTCTGAAGATTTCAATCGCAGTATTTTCTGTTATTGCGTGATTAAAAACGATCGGAAGTAGGCTACTTAAGACGTAATGGGAGGAAAGTTATATTATGCGAAGGCAAAGTCTAGGTAGTACATTCGCGATCGCACTACTCATTTGCAATATTTTATGACCCTTTAGGGTTTAGCACACCTGCTACAGTTCGTTCGGTATCTCTTTAAATGTGGCACTGTAAAAAGCTAAAAATTCTACGAAACACTTGGGCGAGCAGGTGTTTATAATTTGTTACACTAGGTAGCGAAAAGACACCAAAGGTTTTTTTCATCAGATGCACTTAAACTATGAAATAAGCGTATTAATTTTGCTATCCTGTAAAATTACTTCCATTAATTTAAGTGTTTATAGTTTTGTACCCTTCTTTGAACTCCAATTTGACGAGGGATAACGAGTGGCAATAGTTCACCTAACTTCCTTCAGGTTTGTCACCTAAGTGAAGTAGGAGATGGGCCCTCCTTTTTTACGTTTACGAGATATCTTAGTGATAAATCTGGAAATCACCAAAGCTATTGATACACGATGCTGTGTAGATAGAGGGGTGGGGAGCTGCCTCTAAAGAGACACTCGTGGCAGGCAGTAACTGCTTCTCGTGCATCGCACTCAGAATTTCGGTGGCGAGAAGTTTCAGTGCTCCTATCGATAGCCATCTACAGCAAGTCATCAGCACAAAAGTTCGGCAGCAGTAATAAAATTCACGAACGCACTAAAAGTTACTTCGACTCAGGAATTCGGCTGCCTCTGGCTACTTATGCTTTCGACGTAATCCGGTGTGACGTTTTGAGGTATGTCACCCCTCTTGACTGGATTTTATTAACTCTGGATGCACTTGGGGTCGTAATTACCACTCTTCGAAAAGTATTCTGCGGAATAAACTTTATGATGGTATCCACCGAATTCTATAAGCAAAATGCATTCTCTCGCCCGTCACGTGCCACATTGATGAAATTGTTTTTAAATTTCACTTGACTAACTGGCAGTAAATGCGTGCCACTACTCTAGAGCCAAATTCCAGGAGAAAACGGTAACATTGTAAGCGGTAAAATAACAGGCAGCGAATTATGATAACAAACCGGACTTGGATCTTCAACAGTGCGATTTAAAAAAGACTCCTTATATTAATCATGAATAGTTCTTTTAATTCGATATTACTCTTTGACAAAGTACTGTTACTCAGAATTGTAACGCTGAATTGGTTAGAAAGGTCGACCCTTACCATTCATGTATCGTATGATCAAATTCAGGTACTGTTATTAGCTATATTATTTACTCAATACCTTCTGCTCCATTCGGTTTATGTCCCTTCAAAATACCTAGTAGAAATGCTAATGTTTGGTTCAAAAACTTTGACTTGTACCACTTATATTTTAACTGAGCTGTGACAACACACATTCAAACGCAATGATAGAGAGCCTACTTCACCCGGAGCAAATAGAAAAACCGACCTGGTGGATGCTGAGCCTGGAACGTCAATTTAAAACTTGATCGGTACATTATTTTAAACCACGTCGACCATGCAATATTAACTTTAATGCGAGATGGAAAAGCCAATCGAATTTGCCGTCAATGGAGGTTGTTAAAGGCAGGATTGGCGGCTTACCCACGTATTGCCGAACACCGATGATCGCAATGAATATCACCATTAGACCTCCGGTGTACTGGTAGTTGAGCTGGTCGATAAAATCCACACCATCTCCACCATAGGAAGTTTGGAATAGTTTTCCTGCTCTCAGCACCGATTCAGGATTCATGTCAGAGCTGTACGAGAGTCAAGGTTACCAGCTCGCCTCACTCTCGATTCGAGTTAGTGCTCTTTCGATTGCTGTACTCTTTTCAGATGTCGTGTCTACTTGAGTAGCAAAGACAAGAGGACAATGGAGAACAAGAAGGCGTAGAACAGGCTTGAGTAGACGTGAGTAGTGGTAGTAATAATCCCATGTGTTCCGTTAAGGTGATACAGTGGCTCAGGCTCCGCGCCTTTGCTCTAGTAATATCCACATGCGATTAGTCAGCATAGACAATGTCAGCAGCAATACCAGTAGTGGTGGTGGTAGCGGTGGCAGCGGCTGTGATGGCTGTGCCCATTATGGACTTGCTGCGAAGATGCGAATTGCGTGTCCATCTGCCATTTGTGTGGATAACGCACGCACTGCAGACCGCGCAGCCAGTCATGTTAACAGGAGCCGCACGCACGCTTGATCCTTCTGTGCGTCCGCGCGTGTGGACGTGCGTGCGTGCGAACGGGAGAGAGATCGCGTGGGATGGACAGGCCTCGTGGTCTGTCCGCCCCACCAGCAACCACGGCTTTTTCTGGGAGAATTTTGATTCTCAGCTGACGACGAGAGATGCAGCTAATGTTAGAGTGTGTGTGCATTTGTACATTTGCGTATTCATCCCTTCCCTATATTTTGCGTCACTTTGATACTCTCAGTTTGTCGCTTTGACGGCCATTTATATGACCGCTTTCGGCCCTCCATTTGAAAGCCATTAATGCTGTTTTCGCTTAACCGTTCACCGTGGCGGCTTCTTGGCATAGCATTTTATTAAGGAGTAGGATGGCATTTATCGATACCACTCCCTTCACTTGGTTTTAATGATAATCGGCACTAAAATATTGCGATTTATCAGTGATAGCGCAATTTAAGTCCAATGACTTAGTTGTGACTTTCCCCATACATAAATCCATGCTAGGATCCATGTAAGAACTGGCCAAGATAAATAGGACCCACTCTGTATTTGTAGAAACATAAGCTAATATTGTAAGTAATTGTCTGGCTGCACACTCAATTTAGCTAGGAAGAATAAAGGCTGAAAAATAGCTAATAAGTAGTAGGAGTTTCTGTGTATTCGTATAATAGATGAAAACTAGAAAAGCCTTTTTTTCTTAGGCAAAAAAGCATTCATGGCATCGATGTGTGGGCAACTGTGCCGGAGGAATTTGCGCATTGCATGTGGGCTTTAGACATCAGACAAACTGGACCTGGGCACTTAGACAATAGTGTCCACCTTCAGTGGTGGTGGCTATCCTGCATTTGCTATGATTTCGATAATCAAACACCGAAATCTATAAAGGGAGTCCTTTTGTTTCCTCGTAAAATATATGAATTCTCCCTAGTTTTAGATACTTACACGACGTACAGCCTCCAAGTCATGCGAAGGGAAACGCCCATGCACATGCATAAAATACCAAAAAAAATCAGTCGGTTAGTCGGCATTTTGCAAAGATTGCTGATGAATTAAAGCCTACCCGAGATGGTTGATCTGGCCTAACTCATTATAGGAATATTTACCTATGGGTAAATAATGTGGATAAGATGACAATAAATCCTCTTCGTATCATTTGCATCGTCCTGGATGAACCTGAGCGACAAAAAAAGATTTGCAATCCAGGGATGCAAATAGTAATCTTTTAACTCTGATTCGTTTTAGCCCGTGACTCTGTTATAAATAAATGCTTTTGCAATGCAATCTTGTATTGATACAATAACTTCGAATGCATTTTATAAGAGCTGCGGCCAAATGCTTAGTCGAGCAATTTGTTCCTTGCCTTCAAAATAGGGCATGCATGAACCCAAGATCTTACCATTATGTGGTGCTACTTTGCGTGCTACATCAGCCATGGCCATGCGCATCTTGAAGAAAAATTCCATTAGCACTTTGAAATCATAAATAGTTTCGAATGATTGTTCAAGTGATGCACCAGGACTGAATTCCTTTGCTTATGACTTTAATTGCAGGAGAGGACTGAGCATTTAGACTTATCATCCATTCTAACCAATAATTTTAAAGCAAGCCCATTAGAGAGCAGTAACTGGGTTTTTTATGTAAAAATACATATTTAGTTTACAAATCCTTACACGTGGTTCACCTAAAAGATCTTGCAAACACGAACACGTGTGTCTCGTAGAATAAAGTGTTTGAACGTCTATGCTGCACAAAAGAACATTAATTGAGCAGTTAGGATGTCCAGAAAATAAAATAATTAAACTCAAAGTGTTCTTTTTTAAATTTAGGTGACTTGCCTTGATCAGCATTTAAATTGGGTTATTTTATTAATTAGTGTCCGCAGCAGTTGGCCCTGAACTTAGGTACCAAATTCATTGTATGCGGACACAAAACCCACCCTAATCGAGTACATTTTTAAGTGGGAACCACATTTAACGACGGCTACATGTCTATCAAACTATTCTGCCTTTACCATGGACTGCGTTACTGTAATAGGGGAACACTTCCTTTGGAAATATCATCTATGCATCCTGTGTCGATAAAATTCAGTTTTCTTCGATTTTATTAATGTAATTGTTACATTTTCTGTGTTTTTAGTTGACTTAGCCAGTGTATCTCGTAATAATGAGTTTTTGTGCGTTTGCGTGTGCTAAATCTTAAGCGCGGCAGCATCATGAATAATTTGGATGAAAGGCGCAGTCTTCCTGTTCTGATAAGTTGTATTTCGGAGGAGCTTTTTGACAACAATTTGCTTTAATATTTCAACTGATTCGTCGGCAAAAGAGTCAAGGTATAACATTGAACTATTATTCATGTCGAGTTATTGTCTTTGCAGCAGAGATCAGGCTTCTAAGAAAGTGTCACTTGTGTTTGCTGATTCTCTAGGTTTGCACAACTGCCTATGCAACGCCCAGAAACAGCACTTTGAAATACTTAAGGTCACCTATGTTTTGCTTTAGGAGTAACTTATTTGTGAGAATAGATGAAATCTTACTTTCTTCATCAATCTTAAAAATACATTATCAGAGAGTTGGGGGTCATAGTGAGATCTTGACTTCGAAAAAATAGTGGAACCAACACTTCTGCTACCATTCAATATGCTGATTAATACATTTCAGCACTAATATAAAAGTGTGTCATAAGGTTATCCTGCCAAGGCTAAAGGAGGCTGGTTAGGGAAAATGTAAAGCACCCAGGCTGACAGGGCTACCCTTTGTCAGGCCCAGTCTTGCCTACTCCATGTTGGCGTAAAACACGAATTCCTGAGATGTGATTCACCTTGTCCTTTCCACGTTGCGATGATGATTCAGCGGCAATCACTTTTTTCGCAAACATTGACAAAACGTGTCGCCTGGTTTTCTGTGGACTGGTTTTTTGAATGGGATGAGACGCAAGTCACCGGTGGTCGTAAAACGCCTCGTGTTTAATATCAGAGCATTATCCTACTTTTGTAATTGACAAGGGTTACTAGGACTGTGTGATCGTTTGCATTTGAATCTCAATTGTTAGTCTATTGGACCACCTAAGTTTTCATAAAATATTTGGTATCATATACGATTGGCAAAGAGCGTAATGATATTACCCAGTATATACTTGGTCGATCCTGTGTTGTTTGATTACAATTACCTCTGCGCAGTTATCTTCCTTCTCGGGGCGAATGGGTTGCGGTGTTATTAACACATGTATGTGGCTCAGATGGCACGAAATTTACAATGGTTTCTCGGATTAAGAGAAAAGTTTAGTTGCCCTTATCATCGTTCCGTTTTACACTTATCAAATTACGGCCTAATTTAAATTAGGGAGGTAAGTGGCCTCAAATGATATTTTTTTTAATTTGCCAATTTTACATATACTTATTACTATTTGTTGGTGTGGTAACGAAAATAGAGTATTAAGGGCTCTCTAACAGCCCTCGCACTTTGGTACGAAAAATTCCTTACTGAGTAAAATTTAACTACAAACACTGCACGCGCAAAGATGGAATGCCGTTTACTGTGACTTCGTCCCCCTCTTAACCACATCTCTTATCAATGGAAACTGACGGATTAGTCAGTTTAAATTTGAGCAAGAAAATGTGATGAACGAGTTTAATTTGCAGCAGCGTGTGGCAGGGCATGACAGATGTCTACACAGACTACGCTTTGAGAACGGAAGTTTGCATCGCATGTGCACACGCCCCCAGTCGGTGCTTGGCATCATCTCCTTCAAATAAAGTTTCATTCTTTAACAATTATAATGAAAAAGTTGTTATCACACTGATTTCTTATTTGTGCAGTAAGATGGTGGCTATTATGCTGATGGACGGAGAGTGTGAAATTTCAGTGATGAAGAGGAAATATCTCTGAGTTAATAGATAAAAATTATCTTCCTGAGCAGGCGGATATTCAGCGGCCAAGATTGATGAACCAATTTCTAAATATTTTGTCAACTTTGCGCTCAACTTCGCTTAGTAGAATTATAACTAACTTTACATTAGTTCAATGCATTTAGTAGGTTACAGTTCAGTGTCAATAATTTTGTATTAAGCCAACGAATTATAATAAAATCCTGAAGGAATATGCGTTAGGTGCTACCGAATACCCAAAAACCTGTTTAATAATGAACGAAAGTAGGAAATCTACCGAGTTACAAAAGAAAAACGTAAAATCATGCTTTGTGTGAATGCACGTTGACAGTAGACTAAAGTATTTTGATCTCCCTCCACAATAATGGCAAGCATTTGTCCAGCTTATCAGTCAAAAGTCCTGTTGCAATACCGTTTCACAAACATTACCACTACAACAACAATTAACTCCCCAATTATCTAAGTTCGCACTTAGTTCTGTTAGATTTGCTGCTAAGGCAGCTCCAGACTGCATACGAAATGGCCAATAACCAAAAGATAGGCTTCTAAGTCTTCTGCTTTAGCACTACGGGCGAAGGTGTGATCATGGTTCCTTTTTAAAAGCGAATCCTCTTGGGTGATATAACTTGTATTGGGCCCATAATAAGCAATAAAGCGTGATTTAACAAAGCAATACCGACT